AAAACAATCACGCCCACAAAAATAAAGCATAATGCTTTATTTTTGTGGGCGTGATTGTTTTTTAATGCACAAATTATAAAATGACTGTAGAAATGGTAAATGTATTATTTGTTACAATTTACACAACTGGTATAAAACACGGCCATTTCTGAAAAGTACAAGAGAAATCACATGTACAATGTGATTGAAATAATAACTTTGGATTTGATTAATGACATAGCATTCAAGTAATGCTGTTGGAAATTGAAGATAATTAATATTTGACAGATTTAAACAACCAAACCATGACGATATCTATGGAACAAGCTATAGACCATTTAATAACATGTTGTCGTTCCCAATTACTGATGATGATGGTGATTATGATAATAATATTAACAATAATAATAATAATAATAATAATAGTTTCAATAATATTAAAATTAATAATAATTTTAAGTTATATCAGTAACAATAATAGTAATAAAATGGTAATAATTATGATAATAATGACGATGATGACGATGATGATGATGATTAAAATAATAAAGAAATACCTGTAAAAAGTAGCAGGTAACAAAGAAAAGTCACGATGTTCCTCATGATTGCTCCGCCTCTCCCGCGTTATGCAGTAAAGATAGCCCAACAGTTTATTGGAATCCTTGTATGTAACTGATCCAGACACAATGTAAAACAGCAGTTTTCACTGCTGATGCATCACGCAATTTAACCAAAAAAAATTATTTTCCGCAATGAGATAAGACGAAAAAGAAGCATTTGCTTATCTCAGAGAGAATGGATTTGATCAGCAGTTTGATCCGATGGTGGAGGTAAAATGTGATTCTTCCAAGGGTGTGGAATATGTTTCCGCCACACGATGCTAACATATAGCCAAAGTGGCGCTGTGCATATCTTTCCAGTTTGTTATTCTCTTTGTTCGCGTTGTTGTGACGACGCCTGCATGGGGATTCCCCATTTCATGGAATATTGATGACATTAACATTCAAAAGCTGTAGGCACAGTTACACTTTAATACTTAAAACATTCCGGGGGCTACTTTTAAAGCTTGCTTGCATGAAACACTCTTTATTTTGTTTTGCATTGAACTCTATGCAATTTGGGGGGGGGGGGGGCGGGGGCTCTTTTATGACTTTCGGGGGTGTCTTTTTGGCATTTCGGAGGCTAATTCGCCCCGAGCCCCCGTGTATTTTTTTTCCTAAGTTCACCCATAACAATTTAGATAAACTATGTGCATAAATCATGTACCGATAGCACCTTCACTCCAAATCTTTAATCTTCCTTCCCTTCTTTTTTCCCCTCGTCTTCCTTTCATTGAATTATTATCTTTTGTCTCTTGATCTATGTTACTCATATGAAGTACCATAATTCTTGATTCATGTTTTTAACTTGAATATAGTACTATGGAATGCTCTCCCTCGAGAAATTCGTAATAGCGATCAGTTAAAGTGTTTACAAAAAATGACATGTATCTTTTTTTTTAATTCGGCGTATTCGGCATGACAATTCAAGCAGATCGCATTATTTCAATAGCAAATTTGATTACAGAATAAAAACGTGGTGTATACTGCTACATAAATATGTGTATCAGCAAGCAAAAGTTACAGAGGATCTATAATGTACTCCATCCTTCTTTCACAGAATTATGTATCTCTATATATCAGTTCTACTCTTCTTTCCCCATTATCTGCACGCAAACAAAAAAATGTGTGTGTTTGTTAGTGTGGATAATTTTTTTTTTTTTTTTTTTTTTTTTACAGACGTGTACAATTTTTTAGTAGATGCTTTAAATGAAGGTTGGGCCATGGGGAGTTTATCCATATTACAAAAACAAGGTTTTTTAAAACTTTGATTGGTAAGGAAGGGAAAGACTCTCGATACATACCAAATTATAGGCCGATTACATTACTAAATGTTGATTACACAATTTTTTCAATGGTGTTAGCTAAAAGAACTTAGGGAGTAGGGTAGGTGTAGGGAATTGGAGACCCTTAAGCACATTTGCATAATTTACATAAACATGAAAAATGTTACACATACAGAAAGTTTGTTATTCTCTTCAGTAACTTCTTCTCTTTATTTGGTAACAAAATTGTGGTCATGATGTAACTGATTAATAAGATAACAATGATTAATGACGTCATCACCAAAGGTCTCTCATTACCTACATGTGTAGGTAATAAGGGACAGTTACAAATCAAGACATTTTAAATAGAATTCGAATGAAAATGGGATTGTTATATAGTTAGTTCAAACACATTTTGTAAGAGATACATGCAGCCAATGAACTTACTGTCATTTTGAAACGATTTTAAAACAACGTGGCCCAAAATATTTCTGTATTTTTTTTGTTTACAGTAATAAAGATGCTTTAAATTATGTTTAAACACTTTCAGAATAATTTTCTGGCAATGTGACTTTTACATTGATCAAACTCACAGCATAGAATCAACTTCTTAAAGATAAAATTGAGTTCTGGTCATGTGATTGCATTGTGAAAGAAAAGGTGTGGAATGGATCAGAAAAAGTTGATCATGTAGCATGAAAGTATTGGTGTGTACTGCAAGGCTCTGGAGTCATCAAAATCATAAGAAATTTGGCCATTCTTGGTAAAGTAGCAAGCGTTGTACACGGGAAAATGCACATAGGACTACACAAATGGTGTCGGGGCTACTAACCTTGATGTCCTTATCTTGCTATGCTCATTTCTCAGCCAGTATACATTTCATATCAAAATTGTTTGGCAATTTTTTTTTTGTAATCTTGAAAATTCAGTATAAGTTTCGTTTGATTCTGTGAGAATTCATTTTTTTATTTTTTTTAACCAGAATTCAAGTTTATCTTTAAAATGAAATGCATTCAAATAAGAATGGTGACACAAACAATCAAATATGTTTCATGATAGTGCCCTTCAACATGAAATGAACAACTGGGGGTAAGTAGGCCCCCCATCTTGGACCTAGTGTCCTCCATTGCCTACACACATATCTGATCAGACACCATTCATAATGTGCATTGCAACACCCATTCGCAACACTCAATGGCCATAGAGTCTGTGATGGTTGGAATACTACATAACTTCTTTTTAAAACTACTTTTTAAGAGCCACCCCTGAATACCTGCATACACCACAACATTCAGTGAAAATTGTGTTTTTATATCAGAGCAAAATTTTACGATAAAAAATTGCATATCTTGGTCAATTTTGCCCATTTTCTTAGAGAAAGAACGCATTGTAGTCTTCGAAATGAATTGGATATTATGCAATAGTGTTGTTAAAGGCCACATATGGCGCTATATCAATATATATTGGAGCCAACACTGACAGACAGTGATGGGTTCAAGCTTGGTGGTCTCCAATTCCCTACGGTCTCCAATTCCCTACACCTTCCCTACTTGAGGAAGTCATACACGTAGACGAATAATCGCAATATTGGAGAAGCGGTACATTTAATTGATGATATATTCTGTTTCGTGAATGAGGAGTCAGATGATAAAGCTTGTAGTTTTTATTGCAGTTGATCTTGATAGGCGCCAAAACAAAAGAGAGAGAGAGAGAGAGAGAGAGAAGGAAAAGGGAAAGAGGAGAGAAAGGGAAAGAAAGAAGAGGAAGCCGAAAAAAGGGGGGAAGAATGAGATGGGAGGGGGGCCAGAAGGGTGTTGTCTCGGGAGGCTCGAGGTCCCCCTCCTTTAAATTAAAAAGTACCTTAAAGAGAAATAGAAGGAAAGAGAGAGGGAAAAAAGAGAGAACAGTGACCTGCCAGTGTCACAAAATAATGAGTTATCAAAATATGCTCATCTGACCTTGATGTAATACCTAAACCCTTGAGCTTCCGGGAGCTCTGCCCCCTGGACCCCACCTAGGGCTCTAAGGCAGGCCCCTGGACTATCATCTGGATGTTATTTAATGCATAAAACCCTTAAGCTTACGGGGGCTCCACCCCTGGACCCTAAGGCGGGCCCCTGGATGCTCATGTGACGTTATTTGATGTCTAAAATATGCTCATCTGACCATAATTCAATGCTCATACACCCCAAGCTTCCGGGGGCTCCGCCCCCTTGACCCCCGCCTGGGCTTTGCCCCTAGATCCCAAGCCAATTTACGCTACGCTCTCCTTGATTGTAAATACTTTAGCCTCCCCCACCCACTTTACAAAAACGTTAAGCAGGGCCTGCATGTAAGAGTGGCGGTGATGCAGAATTTGTTGTTGCCCCCCCCCCCCTAAAAAATTGGGCCCCCCCAAGAAATCCTGGATCCGCGCCTGGATAATATAACCCATTGAAACATGTTTTATAATCCCAAAGTACTGCTTATTATAGACCCACGACAATAAGCCTCCATATATATGTAGGTCAAACAAATGTTCAGAGACACTTTGGGAAAACAAATAATCCATGCACTTTGTAACTAAATGATTTAATTTTGCTTTTAATGATACATTATTATATAAATATATGGGTAATTTTGACACAATTATCAAAGTTCAAATGTTAATTCGAACTAGTTTCTACCCAGTTTTGTACATGTATTACAATCATTTATTGCCTACAACCAGTTTGTCTACTACTCAATTCGTCTTTTCCCATAGGGTCTACACCCAAGCTGTCTATTATGGTCTTATAATCATTTAATCACGAATAATAATATTCATTAAATGGTTATTAGAACTTATGGATAGGAGACAAAATGTTAAATGTTAAGAATAACATGAAAAACAAGATAGACAAATTCATTTGCAACAGCTTGAAAAGCCTCAGTATTATAATAATAATAATAATAGTGAACATTTGAAATGTGCCATGTATGTCAAAATCGACACTCCTGATGGCAGTTGTGTGAGTATAGTATAAAGGTTTACATAACATTTATGGTTTACATGATGTATTGAAGCCGTGCTTATCAATGCCTTAACCCTTAAAAGATCAAGGAACTCTTGTGATCACACAGTTGAATGAGAGGGGGGGGGGGGGGGGGGAGGGGGATAATCACATTATTTTGGAATGCTGTACAGTCACTACTTGTTGTAACTTGTAATATCATAAAGATGATATCGATTGATGCATATTACTGAAGTACATAAAGTCATGAAAGCTTGAATCTGTGGGGAAAAACGAAAGTCACCATCATTTGATTTCAAAACAGTTACTACAATGTATGGATTTTACGATGAGATATCAGCGTTTAGTTGCATCATGCGACTTTCAATGACCGGTTTCATTCATAGTTCTGCATCTATTAAAATAAACTTGATATCGGGGTGGGCTTCCCCCTTTTAAGATTCTGTCACTTGTTAGTTTCCTGCAGACTCCAAATATATCTGTCACAATCTTGTTTTATCTTATGATTACTTCATTTGTCCTGTAGATTCCAAGTTAAGTCAAGTTCTGCAGAATCCAAGACTAACAAAGTCTATGATTTCCTCTTATGCTCTTTTCACTTGTGGGAGTGTTGTGGTCGAGTGGTTGAAGGCGCTGGAGATGCGAAGGTCGAGGGTTTGAATCCTGACACAGCACTAAATTCCTTTGGCAAGATATTAACCTACACTTGCTACTCTCCACCCAGGTGTTAAAATGGGTACCTGGTAGGATGCGACCGTCATTGTTGGTTAAGCATCAAGTAACGCCTGGCTGGAATGCTCCCCAGGGAGTGGAGATTGTGCACACAGTGTGTGCGGGCAAGCACTGAATCCAATGACCGGGGTAATAGTATATCTGTAAAGCGCTTAGAGACATCCGAGATGTATTAAGCGCTATATAAAAGCTGAATATTATTATTATTATTTTCCTGCAGAATCCAGGTCAATTTTAGTCCCAATCTCTTGCATCTTTTCACTTGTGAGTTTCCTGCGGCCACCATGACGGTCTCCTTGCCTCCAGGTCAACTTCTGCTCCATCTTCAGTGGTGACCTTGAGCTTGTTACCTCTATGAGAGTGAGAGAGAGAGAGTGAGAGAGGGAGAGAGAGAGAGAGAGAGAGACATAGAAAGAGAGAGAGAAAGAGAGAGAGGACTTGGTTTATCACATAATAAGAATATGAACACAAAGAGTACGGGAGGGTGGGAGAGAAAGAGAGAGGGTGGGGAGGTGGAGGAATTACAATTGTTGGATGGACAGATTTAAAAAGAAAATAAAAGAAAGATATTAGGAAGAGATTGAGATTATCAGGGAGATAAGAGGAAGTAGAGAGAGAGAGAGAGAGAGAGAGAGAAAGAATTAGAAAGGGAATCAGGAATATAACATTGAAAAAAGGAAAAAGAGAGAAAAGACAGGAATTATGCCATAAGTACTTGAGTTGTTAAACATGGCAGAAGTTTGTCACATGTGACATGACAGTTCTGGAAAAGTAGTACCATTGACATGATTAAAAGAAAAAAGATGACAAGAAATGATTACAATCATGAGAGATAGAGAGCAGGGGATGCAAGGGGGGGCGACTTAAACAGAGGTGATTCTAGAAAGTGGATTCCCACATGCAGTTCACATGGACATTATACAGATGGCTGACCACTAAATGGAAGTTTATGTATTTTATCAGCATCCTGAATCCTTAATTATAATCAATAATAGCCTAATAGTCCACTCCAAATTTTATTAAACCGAAACGGAAATTCTTTTTGCCCAATTGATCGTGAGCCCGGCAGCCACTGAGCAGCACCAGATCGATGTTGCTCTATCCCTTATTGTTGAACGCCAAACAAGGTAGCAACAACTCCCATCTTTTTACGTCTTTTGGTATGACGCAGCCAGGGTTCGAACCCACGACCTCCCAGTTTTGAGGCGGACGCTCTACTGACTGAGCCAACACTCCGGTACTAATTTGCGCTTTACTGAGTTTTGGAAAAAACTAATATCATTTTTTACACAACAACATTTTCAACTCACATGAGAGCTGTCCTGAGGAGGGCAAGTCCATTATGATGGAGGTGACATCTGAATTTCCCCACATTCTTTCCCTCAGCAGTCTTGATGCTTGTACCAGCTGGGATAGTAGGTATTGCATTCCTAATACATACAGAGAAAAAATTTTGGGAGGTATTATCATTTCTGGGGTAGTTGCTTTGTGCCTTTGGAGGCCAAGATGCTATCTTTTTAAGTTTTTTTTTCTTCTCTTCTTTTTGTTTTGTTTATTTGTTTGTTTGGTGGAATAAGTTGCCTGACCAACTGAAATCTATAGGATCCTATAAAACTTTTATCAATTCTCTAAAGACATATCTTTTCACCACTTCATAAATAATCAAAATTATGAACCCAGTGCATTCTTTTTTATTAAAGTGCATAGAGACATGCAATTTGCCTATGTGTTATATATATGCGCTATATAAAAATGTTTAATTATTATTATTATGCATTAAAAGTTGATGAATGAAATAAAATTCAAGCATTAATCTGCAATTTGAAAGACACTTGCTGATTAGCACAACCACAATATGTATATAAAGCCACCCCCCCCCCCTGATAAAACAACTATGGTGAAATTATTCCTCATTGCCCTGTACCGGTAGGTGAACCAGAAGGACTAAGAACCCAGTGTATGTGTATATCACAAGCGTCTTAATGGATTATTTTTATTTCATTTATTTTTGATTTATTCAAACAGCATTGCCTCTTCAGCTAAAAAACTGCTGTACATAAGGGCCCTGAAACAATACAATACAAACAAATATTCACAGAATGATTATACATATGTACATAATTAGACAATCGTAATATAGTACTGACAGCACAATGAAAAATATTTACTAACAATTAATTCCAAAAAAAAAAAATCAAAAAAAAAATTGATAAATAGCATTGGCTTCCATCTGGCAACTTACTCTTAGTATGAAAAGTGGACCGCCCATTCAAAGACCCTACCCGCTGAAAATACAACTTGCCATCGATGAAAAGCTGAATTAACGTAGAATACAAATATAAAGGAACACAACATTTTCCCTTACAGTGTTGCACAAAAGCAATTTAAAACCTCATTTTCCGCACCCTTCCAACTTACGGGTCACCAGGGGCCAAATTCATTTCGGTGATGACATTACATGTGGACTCGATCGGGCCCATTGATGTATAATTCATCTATTTCATGTTTTTACTTCCCTTCCGAATGGGGTCTTTAAAAAGAATGGGCCAAATGTGAATTTCAATATTACATGTATATTTCTCTCCTTTATTCTCACCCTGCAAGCTGGATCGGCATGACTCTTTTCCTGATGACTCCGGTATGATGCGTCCTGGCAGTGAGTTCCTGGCCTAAGTAACAGCCCTTGGTAAAACTCACTGAAGAAGAAAAAAACTAATGGTTACCGACATGCTAATAAAGCTAACATACATATATGAATATGGGCAAGCCTACATACAGTATATATAGCACCAAGTACCAACTACACTAAGAACATGAAAATTATAATTCTTTTTAATATTTTCTCAGTTTTATGCTCTAGCCGGTTTATCAGCTTGATACAATAATACTTAAAACTTGATCACTGACAAAGAAAAAAAAAAAATGGTTGTCGACATGCAAATAATGAAATTATTAAAAGAAATATTAAAAAGAATTTTTTTAAATAACATAAATGCACGTGTATGGGCAAGTCTAAGGTATGTCTCATACATCACCAAGTATTAGTGAACTAAATTAGGGAATGGTGAGTGAAAAATAACAGTATCCACAACCCTACTTTTAAAGCACTTCAAATGACTTTTGGTGAGCAGGTTCTCAAGATATTTCAATATGTAATTCCTGATGTTTATTTTTGTTCCCCCTGAACTTTTCTCAATTCATTTGAAAAATCTTGAAGATTGGTATCTCTGTTTCATGAAAATGCATCCTGCATGTGAGGTCCTCCCCCACCAAACAACACTTTTGGGTTAACATTATAACAGTGAAACCTGTCTATAAAGGCCACCCAAGGGAGACAAGAAAACTGGTCTTTATAGGCATGTGGTCTTTATTTACAGGTTCCTTTGGTACATGTTTCAATGAGAAACCATTTTGAAGGGGAAAAAAAACATTGTGGTCTTTGTAGACAGGTGGTCTTTCTATACAGGTGGTCACTTAAGCAGGTTTGACTGTATAATAAAGTTATGAATTCAGTGGGAGGTAAAGAGAAGAAAAAAAACACAAGAAAAATGGACTACTTGCCTCCATTCATGAGAGCTAGATTGGACTCTAGAGGGAGACAATCTCCGGGAGGAAGTTCATTGACCCCTTCCGCCACGCCCCACTGATAACGATGCGTCATGTAGTCTTCTTCATTAACTTCTTCAATACCAGGTACTGTATAATATAAAAAGAACAATACAGCCAGACTTAAAGATAAAGATCACTTCTGGTCATGCGATTGCATTGTGAAAGAAACATTGTGGAATCGTTCAGAAAAGGTTGATCATCTAGCATATAAGTATTGGTTTGTACTGCAAGGTTCTAAAATCATCAAAATGATAAGAAATTTGGCCCAGTCTTGGTAAATTTACAAGCACTGTACACAGAAAGATGTTTATGGGACTACGCACACGTGCACGCACGTGCGTAATGTCTATCACGTCCAAATAGATAAACTAATTTACAAAATATATCAATAAGTAGGCGGCTTCTCAGCAAAATTCGTATCATCACGTATTAGTCAAAACATATTCTTTCACATGATTGGTAATAAGATCTTCCATTTCTTTTTTTAAGAGGGGGGCGTTTCCAAAACTGATCTTTACCTTTAAAGTTGGTATGACAAAAAATTGATTGCTTTGAATTTAATGGGGTTCCAATGGCAATAAAAAATGCCCTGCAAACAAGCAATTGCTGAATGTACATGTACAAAGTGCAGAATGTAATGCACAGATAAGAAAAGTGGTAAGCTACTATGTGGCCATTTCGTTTAATGCAATGTCCAACTCTAGAACCTACCTTGACTGCCTTGTGGGACAATGACCCTCTGACCTAGACCGTTGACCTTGGGGTCAGTGAAGAAATGAAATGGGCCGGATTTATTAGATCCTGGGCTAGGGGGAGGAGTGGGGCCAGGACTAAAGATGGACCATACATGGTACTCAGAATCCAGTGATGTGATATCCACCTGAATATCATGTGAATAGGAAAAGAAACATTAGTGCTGATAATGATAAAAGATGATGATGATAGTGCTGATGATTATGATGGTCATGGTCATGTTGGTGATGATGATGGTGATGATAATGATGTTAGTACTTAATGTATAGTGCTTTACAAGATGATGATAGTGATGATGATAGTGATAAAATCCAAATGAAGCAAGGTGCCAAGTATTTGCGGGAGGCGTTCAAATAAGTCATGAAAAACGGTACCTCACCCCCCTCCCCTAATTTTAAATTGGATTTACAAATTAAATTGATCTTTTCGACAAACTAATTTATTTATTTTTATCTGGAAATTATAAGGCCTCGGTACTGATGCTAAATGACTCTTAGGAAATGAAATTTAACCATCATTATTATTATGATTTACTGGTATGTATTTATTTATTTACCTATCATCAATTAATTCCCTTTGAGTTTCACCCATAGTTGTATAGAGGTTTACTTTCAAATGGTTATATCGCCTTAGTGGAGTCCAACAGAAGGACATTATTTTGTATAGGTTTAAATAGTTAAAGCCCTTCTGACTCAAAACAGAGGATTTGACAGAGATAATCACCTTCTTCCTGATTCTGTAGAGTTTGAGATGTTTATGTAATTCCTGCGAGATGGCGCTATCACACTCTAGAAGGTATGACTGTGTGTCTCCCTCTGGATCGTTACTCCACTGGTAACACATAACATCATACAGGACTCGCCCCTGCAATACAAAGATAATAATACTTCTAATAATAATAATGCAAATATTATTGATAGTTAAATTAATAAATAATACCATAAATAATAATAGTAATAGCACAATAATAATAATAATAATACATGTATAGAGCGCAGAAACTATCCAACATTAGGTATATATTCTACTGCGCTACAAGAGCTCCTGATATCCTTAGATTTACATTAAATTAAAAAGATGTGTTTTCAGATTCGATTTAAAGACATTTACGAACGGTGATTTCCTGACTTCAAAATTCAAATGGCAAGTTATTCCAGAGTTTTGGGACAGCACAAGCAAATGCTTGGTCACCTAGCTTTGATAATGATAATAATAATATTAATGATAATCTTATTTTTATAAAGCAGATTTTCATTAGATACAACGTGCATAACCAAGAAATACTTTAAACTTCAATTAATGTCACTTACAAAGCGCATAAATACATTATATTCGCAAGATGCAATTTACTCACTTGTTTATTTAGAAACATGGAATAGATGACCTCTTGACCTTCGCCCCCATTCAGCTGCTGCACGTCATTGGTCATTAACCCCTGAAGTAGGTCCTGAGCATCGCGACCTTTTACCAACATCAGACTACGACCCGTCAGTCTTGACCCTACAAAAGGAGAAAAATCAGATGAAAGTACAAAAAAATGAGTGGTTTAAAGGTACTACAGTATGTCCCATTTGCAGGCCCAAAAAATGAAAAGTTTAAATTCCAACGGCATTTGAAAGACAATACAAATTTAGAACCTCCCTAAAAAGGGTGGGGCTTGAAAATGTCTTCAAGTAGGAGAATAACGGCTATTAGTTGTCAAATCGACTTAGGAGCTCTAGGGTGGGACACGCTTCACACACGTCGAATCCTCGACCAATGCACCCTTCTCTACAAGATCCATCACCGACTTGTCTCCATACCTGCACCAACTATTGTTATCCCCGCTACATACTTCGGAAGACATGACCACAACCTGAAGTATGTAATTCCTGTTACAACTATCGACTCCTTCAAGTTCTCATACTACCCAAGAGCAATAAGGATCTGGAACCATCTGCCAGGCTCTGCAGTCAATGCAACAGGAATAACCAACTTCAAGGAGGCTGCTCTACCCTCCATCAGAATGATGCAGCCCCCCGTTGGTTCTCACATCATATAAGCTTACTAGCTTGGTTTTTACTTGCACTGGACTTAGCATATTTTACTGTAAATTGACAAGTGCTTTGTCCACATACCATTCCAGCAATTCATGACACTCCTTGTAGTCACTTGCCTCACCTACCATCCCAGTATAGCTTCCTGAGTGAGCTGCCAAAGGGATTACCCAACCAAGTACCAAGAGCCAATAAGTAATAGTCTTGATTTTCAGACCATTTTACCGAAAGGTCATACGTTTTATGCTGCGTAAAGATTTGATTAGTTTAATTTTGGCCATCACAAGAAGTGGGTTATTGATGTAGACAAATGCTCATGTTCCCTTTACAGCTCATTTTATGTAGGCCTATGTTATTACCAAAGACGAAAAAAAGCCAGTCAGTCACTCAATAGTGCCTGACAGTGAGGTCTAGCAAGTAAACGGGTTTCCTTGCATAATTTGAATATAAGGACACTGCTAACGTTTAAATTTCACAGATAGGACATACATGACATATTCATAATTCCTGCAAAGTTCTACAGAATTTGAGGTTGGCTGCAAAAGGGACATAGTACCTTTAATGTATAGGAGAAATTCCCATCACTCCTGGCATTCCAATATCATTACCGCAGTCAATGACCAGCTGTCTGATAGTTTAAACATCAGGGCCCTTTTTTTAATAAAACTTGTTATCAATAACAAATGCTAAATATCTATGACGTATTTGCTCTCAGCCAATCAAATGCAATGATTTCAATAGCTTATAACAATTATTGTAACTGGTTATTAGTAAAAAAAAGTTTAATGAAACAGGGCTCTGGGTGGAGAGAGGTAAATTTTGGTAAGTGGCTCGCTAAAGGATGGTATCAATGAGCTGGCGGTCGAACCTTTTGAGCTGTCCACTAAGAGTCATGTGGATGAACCAATGTATTATGATCTATTCTAACCAATTATTTGTATATAATGAAATAAATGTTCTTTGAAAGAAAGACCTTTCCTTCGAGAGGTGACCTTGAGTAAGGACTAAATGTCCCCAGATTTGATGGTTGATAGCCGGTTTGCCTGTTTTACCCGACTGTAAAGAAAGCTAATGCTTGGAAGAAAGCGACCAGGAGACTGACGGCTATAAGTCCTCTCTGAGGGACTTGGTAATGGGGATCAATTGGTTTTAAATCCGGGGCGGGACCTCCAAGTTATGATACCACTACTACTACTCACCATTCAATGATGGATCTGCTGGTTTGAGGCTATTGTCTGAAGAACATGTCCTTCTGCTAGCCATGGTAGTTTGTAACGCTCCCCTCAACACGCCTGCCTTATTTAGGCTCCGGTAACATCTATTACATAGCTGATGTATAGGAGCCCACTTCATACGCATAGCAAAGACTCCTACAGCTCGCGCTTCCATGCTGAAAAGCTAGTTCTGAAAGGTAAAGAGAAAAAACATGCACGTGCATACAATTCAACAAATTATTTCATGAAAGATAGCATTTTGAGGCTTAGATCATCTAGATCTAGTATTATATTAAAGTTATGAATGAAAATTATGAAATAGCACAAAATAGACTTTTCTCAAAAGGTTTTCCTTTTTTTTTGCATGAATAGATCTAATATACAGATTGCTTTATTTACAAATTTTCAAACAGAGAATGAAAACTTGATGTTCAATGACATGTTTGTTCATTCATTGCCATGCATATGCCCATATAATTTAGAAATCATCGTGCAGTAGTAGCCTAGATCTAACAGACATTGAGAAGTCACAGCTTGTGTGTAAGTACGGTATCTAGCCATACAATTCCAGTTTGAGAGAGAAAATGAGTAAGCTGCTAGCGCTAGATGAGCCTTGTCAGCGATCAACCGGGCCGGGCCGGGCAGCGGCAGGCAGGGGAGCGGCCGAGGCTGGCGCTGGCCGAAAGAGGAGAGCATCTTAATCTTCTTATTCTTGTCAAATCTTATTTTATTTTAACTTATTTTTTACACCAAAACAGATACAACATTTCTCACTAAATTCAATTCACTGGTTTCATCGGCAATTCAATAGATATCAAGAAATATTTCGAACACAACTTAGTCTACTTACCGGTTTCACACCTACCAATGCAATGCAATGCACGAAGTTAATTTACGACAGCGATCGTACTGGTATTACGCAATTGGGTCAACCGTGACTGAATTTCTCGACTAATAATAGATCATACGAATCAGCTGAATCAGCTGAATCTGGTAGGTCTGGTAGGGTGCGCGTTGTGTGAAGGCTGCTTTCCAAATCTGCTGCTGAATTTGCGTTTAAAATTCGACATTCTAGCAACAAAATTGTTTTTTTTATTTGGTCAATATTGTTGATAACTAGGCCAGAAAACATCACACTTGAGCCTTGATTCCTCAAAGTGGATTTTTCATAATTTTTGGAGCCTAAACATTTTGGGCTTTCTGGCATACAACCCAGGCAGTCCCACATATCTACTCTGGTGAAAGCAACTTGGTCTTACATCTGTCATTGGAGACTAGTTTTGCCTGTATTCACACATACAGAATACAGCACCATAATATTACTACTGCTGTGGAGCTGTCAACTCTACTTGTAATCTGCTGGCTAGCTAGCTTCTTGACTTCCATCTCTGTGAAAGTCAAACTTTACAAAATAGCCTAGCAGTCTTGTGTAATATACACCAGCACATTACAATTTTGAATTTGCAGTATAAAGTTTGAGCTTCAAGTGGAAGGATAGCATCGCAACGTGCAAATTTGTAACTATCTTATTTTGATTTGTTCCCTGTACTGCGGAATATCACTGCTAACTGATAACTAAGTCAGAAAACATCACTCTTCAGCCTTGATTCCTCAAAGTGCAATTTTCAAAATTTTGGGAACCTTAAAATTTTGGGCTTTCTGGCATATATCCCAGCCAGTACCACATATCTACTCTAGTGAAGGCAAATTTGTCTGATATGTCAGTGGGCACTAGTTTTCCCTGTATTCACACATACAAAATTCAGAATACAGCACCAGAATATTACTATTGCTGTGGAGCTGTACACTCTACTTACAAGTAACCTGCTGGCTTCTAGCTTCCTGGCTTCAATTTCTGTCAAACTATCAGTTTCAAGGTTGATCTTCAAATTCAAGTGGGAGGTCCGTACCGAATACAGAATCAGAATATTCTCCTGTGGAGCTGTCAACTCTACTTGTAACCTTCTAGCTTCTAGCTTCTAGCTTCTAGCTTCTTGGCTTCCATCTCTGTCAAGGTCAAACTTTACAAAAAAAGCACCTAGCCTAGCAGTCTTGTGTAATTTACTGACACATTACAGTATATACAGCTATCAGTTTCAAGGTTGTTCTTCAAATTCAAGTGGAAGGTCCGTACCAAATACAGCACCAGAATATTCTCCTGTGCAGCTGTCAACTCTACTTGTAACCTGCTGGTTTCTAGTTTCTTGGCTTCCATCTCTGTCAAAGTCAAACTTTACAAAATAGCCTAGCAGTCTTGTGCAATTTACTGACACATTACAGTATATACAGCTATCAGTTTCAAGGTTGATCTTCAAGTTCAAGTAGAAGGTCCGTACACATTACAGTATATACAGCTATCTATTTCAAGGTTAATCTTCAAATTTAAGTGGAAGGTCCGTACCGAATACAGCACTAGAATAACCTTCTGGCTTCTAGCTTCTTGGCTTCCATCTCAGTCAAGGTCAAACTTTATCCTTATATGTTTACAACAAAAAAAACAAAACCCACCTAGCCTAGCAGTCTTGTGTAATTTACTGACACATTACAGTATATACAGCTATCAATTTCAAGGTTGATCTTCAAATTCAAGTGGAAGGTCCGTACCGAATACAGCACCAGAATATTCTCCTGTGCAGCTGTCAACTCTACTTGTAACCTGCTGGCTTTTAGCTTTTTGGCTTCCATCTCTGTCAAAGTCAAACTTTACAAAATAGTCTAGCAGTCTTGTGCAATTTACCGACACATTACAGTATATACAGCTATCAGTTTCAAGGTTGATCTTCAAGTTCAAGTAGAAGGTCCGTACCGAATACAGCACCAGAATATTCTCCTGTGGAGCTGTCAACTCTACTTGTAACCTGCTGGCTTCTAGCTTCTTGGCTTCCATCTCTGTCACAGTCAAACTTTATCCTTACATGTTTACAAAATAGCCTAGCAGTCTTGTGTAATTTACTGTCACATTACAGTATATACAGCTACCAATTTCAAGGTTGATCTTCAAATTTAAGTGGAAGGTCCGTACCGAATTCAGCACCAGAATATTCTCCAGTGGAGCTGTCAACTCTACTTGTAACCTTCTGGCTTCTAGCTTCTAGCTTCTTGGCTTCCATCTCTGTCAAGCCTAGCAGTCTTGTGTAACTGACACATTACATCTATCAGTTTCAAGGTTGATCTTCAAGTGTAAGTGGAAGGTCCGTACCGAATACAGCACCAGAATATTCTCCTGTGGAGCTGTCAACTCTACTTGTAACCTGCTGGTTTCTAGCTTCTTGGCTTCCATCTCTGTCAAAGTCAAACTTTACAAAATAGTCTAGCAGTCTTGTGCAATTTACCGACACATTACAGTATATACAGCTATCAGTTTCAAGGTTGATCTTCAAATTCAAGTAGAAGGTCCGTACCGAATACAGCACCAGAATATTCTCCTGTGGAGCTGTCAACTCTACTTGTAACCTTTTAGCTTCTTGGCTTCCATCTCTGTCAAAATCAAACTTTGATACTGCACCAGAATAATTTCCTGTGGAAGTCACCAGAATATTCTCCTGTGGAGCTGTCAACTCTACTTGTAACCTGCTGGCTTCTAGCTTCTTGGCTTCCATCTCTGTCAAAGTCAAACTTTACAAAATAGCCTAGCAGTCTTGTGTAATTTACCGACACATTACAGTATATACATCACATCTATCAGTTTCAAGGTTGATCTTCAAGTTCAAGTGGAAGGTCAGCACTGCCACGTGCAAATTTTCAACTAATGCGCAATGTCATTGCTAATGACCACCGCTTCATCTGCAGTTGAGCTCAAGGGCTTTGAAATTTCTTCTGAAGGACAAGGCAAAGGGGGCTTTAAGTTTGTTAATGTAGCCTTTGAAAAACTTTTCTTCATGAAAATCAAAAATGTTGTTTGTGAAACCCTAGTGAAACATCCAACATTTAACCCTGCACATGTAGCAGTACCAGTCAACGGTAAAGTGAGCAATGGCTTTGAGATTTCCAACAAGAAGAAAGGCGGCGATGCAGGAAAGGCCAAAAAGCTATCCCTCCTCTTTTTTGATGAAGCCTACCGCATGTTTGTTAGTGGTAAGCAATTTCAACTAATCACTGAACTCAAGCCATTCCTCTTTCAAGAAGCCAATGATGTCACTGCTGATTCGTCTCTCGGAAAAAGCCTCAACTGCCTCTTTGATGAAATCTGCATGTCAGCTAGCTCGTCACGTAAGGGTCTTAGCAGTGCCAAGATATGCCAATGTTCCCCTGAGGAACGGAAACTGCATTGCCCTATCTGCAATACACATGCATGTTTAGGTACAATCCAGTGCCACGCATGTGACACATGGACCCACTTTGAATGTACAGGGTTACAGGACCACGATCTAGCGGAACTAATAATAGACAAAAAGGCCCCATTCTCCTGCGTTGCCTGCAAAGCCACCAAGCCGTCCACGTGTACCTTATCGCTACGATCTCGTGCCAGCCGATCTCCTGAGGTCACCTCATTAAGTCGACATCTCGTAGAAGCCCAAATGGATGATGAAACAGAATCGGAACAAATTTTCCTGACATGTCCCAGTGCTGATCATCCCTTGCCTTCTAGTCCGCGCTCCACCATTAGTGGGTTGTTACAGGTTTGCTCCTCACAATCACAGCCTGATGGAAAGGACACACCTAACGAGGGAGATTACTTCAACAGCAATAATCTAGCAACTTCTGCAAGAACAGTCCTTGTGGAAGGTCAATCGGAAGAACCTGGACCCGAACTTTACATAATAGATGTGAACGAAGCTCCTCAGGAACATGGTGAAAGCAGGCATGCAGTTGGGTTGGAAGATGAGACGCAGAGGACTCTTTCAAAAAACACCGTCCCTAACCCAACTGCCTATGAAAATCCCCCATCAAAAACATCTGAGTACGAAGCTTTTTCCAAGGAGATTCAGGAGCTCAAGGAAGACTTGAAGGAGAAATCTAACATAAACACAGTCATAATAATGGAGAATGAGCAACTCCTTAACCAAACGCGACAGCTTCGGAGGGAGCTAAAGAGCCTACAGGACCTACGAGTCTGTGATAAGGCCTTACTTGACAGTAAGGTCAAGGAACTACTCACCATGCAGAACTCGTTGCTCAAGAAGGAAGCTGAGCTCAGATCTCTCCAGTTGCAAGTAGATTTTTTAAGCACTGTTTGCAAAACCCATGGCCTCCATGATATTTTCAGTGATAAGAGCGTCCCTACGGAGACACCATCAACAGGAGGTCAAACTAGTCCTAATGCAACGCATCAGCCAAGGCTGCAAAAGAGCAGATCCTTCACCAATAGCACTCAGCAGTACAAGCCGAAGAGCCATCACCTGGGTTCGCCTTCCCGGTACCGTCCACCACCTGGATCACCTACCAGCTCCAGTAACAACGCCCGAGCTTTAGGCACGTCCACGAAAAACTTTAACCAGCATGGTCAGCAAGCTCACTCAAACCAGTACCCTAGACATACGAGCCAACACCAAGACAGACAGCTACACATTATTCCTACCATGACGCGCAAAGTACACCATGATGGGAGCAACAGCAATCTGCAATCGCCTCCTAATTCACCAGTTAGCATTTACCATCCGGTGGCTGAGGACCCTTATGGCATTCCAACCAGCAACAGGTTTGAAAGTCTACCTGTTGATGAAGAGGTCCAGGGTGCTGATAACAGTGGCTCACATCTGCATAGGGAACCAGTGACAAACCATAGAGTAAATTCACCAAAACGCTCCAGGCCCACAAACCATAGGGCATTTCCATGCGGGAAAACCCTACAGACGCACCACTTTACTCCTGGAAACTCTTTGCCCAACGCAGAAGCAGACAAGCTTCCTCTCCGAACCTGCTACCCACCAAACATGGTTCAGCACACTGTAGAAGACGAGCATCTTACCAGAACTAG